ACTTATGACCCTGAACCGAGCGCTATCTAAATAAGAAATTCAGGGTACCCTGCCTCGGATACAATAGTTTCTTATCCAACGCCGTCACTGTATATATATATATATACTACACACGCCCCATCATGTGGCGATTCCGGTTCATCAGATATCTTAAAACACCCCTCATGTGGCGATTCCGGTTCATGAGATATCTTAAACGTGCCCCCTCATTTGGCGATTCTGGGTTCATGATATGTCTTAAACACGACCTCTCATTTGGCGACCCCGGTTCATCATAGATCTTCAACACGCCCCCTCATTTAGGGATTCTGGTTCATCATATGAATACATTAAAAACATGTTCGCTCATGTGGCGATTGCAGCTTCGTTTCGGCAAAGGGGTTGGCTTAAACAAAAGCAGGGGGTGATAAAGCGGAATCGCCGTATGAGGGGACGTGTGTAAGTTATATGATGATATGACGGGGCGTGTGTAAGACATTTGATGAACCAGGATCGCCAAATGAGGGGGCGTGTTTCGTGTTTAAGTTGGTATAGATGTATATATACAGACATATGATGAACCGGAATCGCCAAATGACGGGGGTGTGGTTAAGGTTATTCCTTTCTATCGTTCTGTGTTTCTTTAGTTGGTTCGTCCTTCCTTTCTCTCTTGCCTCTTTCGATTTATTGATAGTTATTTATTTCTTTCTTTCGCTCTTTTGTCCTGTGTTTCTTCCTTTGTTTCTGCCTCTTGATTTCTGTCTTCCTTACTTCTCTTTGAATCTTTTCTTATTCCTTTATTTCCTGCTTTCGTTAGTTCTTGCTTTCTTTCGTTCGTTATTCCCTTCTTTCTGCCTTCCTTATTTTCTTCCGTTTTTCCTTTCTTCCATTCTCCCTTTCTTTATTTCGTTCGTTCTTTCTTTCGTGCCGCTTTTTCTTTCTGACGTGTCTATCTCCTTCGTCCCTAAAACCCAACCAAACCCAGCAAAAACATCACAAAAAATATATACCAAATTGACAAAACAAATACGGTACCCCGCCTATTCTGCCTTGTAGTGCTTCAAGCTCTGCGACACACATGGACAAGCACTCTCCAAAATGCTGGAGAGGATCCTCATGGTCAAAGCTTTCTGTGCTTAACCTCAACAGAACAACAGCTGGAACACATGAGCGATCCTCCTTGAGGGAACCGTCCTCGGACGCATGATCTTCTTCGAGCCTCAGCTGGGTCTTGGCGGACTGCATGGCAGCACAGGATACAGTATTCCACCAATTAACTATCCCAGGGTCAAGCTTCAGATAGGAGACGGTTCAAACTGATCCACCAGTGCGGCTGAGTACTTATCAAACCTTGAGATTTTCCCACTGAAGCGGTTTGGAGATTTCTCTTCGGGAACTGCAAGGGCTAGCAACCTCTCGGTGCTGAGCAGTGAACCCTCCGGCTAGCTGCGCAATGTGAACAGTCCGAAACACTCGTTCGTGTCACATGTTTCGAAATTCTATAAGCCACATGACTCACATGACATGCAGCCAACTCACACCAGCCGGATGGTCTTCAGCATGTGCACCGCTTGGGCCAGCAGTGAGCCGCATTCCTGTGCTTTCTGCATTTCTCTCTCGATTGCGACGGTGATGAATGCTCGTGGCATCTCCTGTGCGGCATCCTCGATGCGTCGTCTGGAAGCATGTCCTATGCATACCAAGCCACTTCAAGCCTCTATGCTACACTCCCACCTTGCGAAGCTGAGACTCATCTGAGGCGCGAGCGGATCCAGTCTGCCTCCTGTCCTTGTGAGAAGAGGCCTTACAAGAAAGGGGAATGAGACGGAGATGGCAGGATGCTGGCCAAGTCGGCCAGCTCGGTCGACCAAGGGTCCTTATGCGATGCCTTACTGTGCAAGCCTCCTGTCGCAACACTAAGCTATACTAATCTACATGCTGTACGATCGGACAAGGGCCGACTAGACTTCGGCCGATGAGTGCACGAAAACTGAAAACCTGCGGCCGTGCTCTCACCCTGCAACAGTAACATGACCTGTTTTGTTGCCGTGGCCTTCGGGAAAGCACAGCTCATATCCGAACCAATCTTTAGTACTTATGCTTGAATTGGCATGCGCGATGGGAGGACGATTGCTTTCTGCAGTTGGGAGCAGCTCTCGCTCTGACGCTGCCTATACACCTCCAAAGTCAGACTAGAGAGGAGCCATCGAAGTAGGAACAGTTCGTTGCGGATGACCCCTGACTTTGACTCACGCACACAGGCAAGAAAACAAACGCTTCAAGTTGATACTTTCGCAGTCCCAGCTGCTGTAGTGACCGCAGTGGGTAAATTGTTTGACTGTGTCAGAACGAGGATTCCGATACCCGTCGAGAAAGGCAATTGGGTGGAGGGGCTAACGTCGAGAAAGTCGAAACTCCACCTTGATGCTTTGATATATGTGGGAATCCGCACGCAAAGGTGAGCAACACCTCTTGTGCGCCCTACCCAATGTACAGGCTACGCCATTTCGGCAGACGTTCGGCGGTCACCCGGTAGCGATTCCACCATCATGCGCTTGGCTGAAACATTTGACAGCCGCCTGCGAAAGTTTAGGCTTCACAGTTGTCACATGACAGTGAAACACAACAGCCCTGGTGGCAAAGTTGCACAGTGCAAAAGAGCACATGCCTGTGCTCGAGCGGGTCAAAAGCGCAAGCCTAAGTTAACTAGCTATAGCTTTGCCCGCCCTCCCCCCCCTCCGCCCCGCATGCTGAGTCGTGCTCTTTGCTCTTGAGGGCCAGAGGAGCTAGTTTGAGCAGTTTTCGGCAGTTCATCTCACTGAGGCAATGAGGTCCGATTTGGCGCAGCCAATCCACATGTGGCAGCACATGGATGCGTGGCTGCACGGAATGGAATCTTGCTGGCATGTTCTCAGGCTTCAGCCGGAAAGCTCACCGGGGTACCTGCAAAGCTGCAGATCTAACACAACGTCTGGTGTTCAATGTGTTCAACATAAACATATCACGTCGAAGATGTGGGGCACTGCTTCTCCATCTGCAGTGTGATGAAATGCAGTAGAGTCTCGTCTGCGGCCTGACATAGCTCAGGAGAGCACAGCTAGCTTCTGTGGCATTTCAGGCATTAGTGAGACATCATTCGATGGCCTGTGTAGCCTTAACAGTGCGAAGCTGAAGCAAGGCTTCCATCGCAAAGCCATCTGCACGTCCGCGCCTCAGCAAAACGGATGCTCATGATCGCCTGCTTTTCATGCCAGCCGTTGATCCCCGGAGCACTGTGGAGCCAGTCTTTGCTGTAAAACATACTGGGAAAGGATTGCACGGGCTGCCGGCCAGGATCTTCTTTGCTGGGGCATTCGGAAGCTGTTTAGAAGGTTCTCGCGATGCACTCGGGCAAAATTGGCGACGGTGCCTCACTGCCTTTGGACCGGGTGCCGGAGCACGTGAGTGTCGACTTCGTAAAGATCACGTTGTTACCGTGGCGAAACCCATGAAGTGTATGCTAGGCCCTGCTAGGCCTGCACAATTTGCAGAGTGCCAGAACGACAGCAACTGCCCACAAGTGGGCAGAGCTGTCAGCTGTCTCAGATATATATATATATATATATATATATATACATTCAATCAGTCATCCCGTCATCTGAGCGACCGCATGCAACACACTAATCGATTCTAATAAAGATACAAACAGACGGTGACAGTCTCTCAGCATCTGGCCGCGTCCCACCGTTCAGGAAATTCCCTGCATGCAACGCCACTCCGAGCAAGTGCCTGAACGAGAAGGCGACAACATGATTACCCCTCCGCAGTACAAACCACATGGGCATGTCACATGTGCCTCAGCCTTATCGATGAGAGCAAGCATCGACACCCAGAAATAATGCCAGTCACATCAGCTGCGACATGCTCGAACTTTTCCTGATTAAGCGCTCCATTCTTCAACAAGCACATGACGATCACCGTCATTGGTTCAAAGAGCAGTGTCCTGGAAGGAGGTGACGAAGCCCCACACTTTCAAGCGCAGTTGAACTCGAGGAATTGCCAGCAGCGACAGCATAAATTCCTGACCGCTACTGGGGCACGAATGGGCTTGAAAAGCGGAAGCACAAGCGCACGCTGTGTTTTCGGGGTCTCTTGAACTTTTTGCACTGCTTTCTGCCACAACTTGCAATACGCTGACCGCATATGGACTGTCGAAGCACTTGTGTGCCCCAGCCCGAGATTGAACAAAGAGCGCTTGAAAACACCAATTGACTGTGCCCAGGTCCTCTGCCGTGTCCCAAACATTGTTTTCATCAACAACATTCTCCTCAAGAGCCGGAGAAGAGGCTGCATGTCTTCGGCAATGCTCCAATTCGCTCCTCTTGGGCACGCCGAAGCATATGTGTCTCTTCTGCCGATGGGCAGTTCTGGAGGAGTAGCTCGACCTACAACTCGCATTCTATCGGATCGTCGAAGAGCCAGCGCGTGCAGGAGCGGGTGCGCCTCATCTCTGCCGAGCCTGTCGGACTGTCACCGGCACCCGGCATGAACTTTGAGCCTTTGCACAGCCTTGCTAGGCCTTAGTGCGTTCATGTCATTGACCAGCTTCAAGGCATTTCCCGGCCTTGGTCAGCATAAAGCAGCCATTCGCTTGCATCAAGCTGCTCTGGGCCGCGTGCAGACGGGCAATCATGATACAAATCTGCCTCCGGCCGCGTACTCAAGGACTGAAAGTAAAGCCATCGAAGCAACTCCATGACAAGAGCTCATCATTCAGAGGCGATGTTTGATGCCACATGATGCCACTAGAGTGATTTTTAGACAATGCCTTCATAGTGCTGAATAGCTTCCACTACACACATCGTCGCCTGCGCCTCTGCTCGTCAAAGACCCGAATGATCCGCTTTCCCTCACCTGCAAACGTTGCAAATCGGTGCATCCGCTGGATTTGCTGGCAGCTGCTTGTAGGTAAGGCCGATCTGGTTGGCGCCTCCTCCGGTTTTCTCCTCCAGTTTGCCCCTCGGACTTCTGGCCTCCGCAAAGAGCCGTTCCAGCTCCTGGCAGACACGGCACTCTTCAGGCTGCTACCCCATGGACACGGTGACACTGTCCTCCAGATCGATGCAATAAGACTCATCATCGATGAGATCCCATCTGGGCAGTGACGTCAAAGCCGCAACTTGTCACTTCAAACACCGTGTCCCGCATCATTGCAACTTCGCATGCCACAGTGATCAACAGCGCACGTGCGGCAACTCAGCCTGACACACTGTGGAGCTTTGGGCTCGGAGATGGATGGGATTCCAAAAAATTCGCTTCACCTGGACGGTCGGGATCACCTGTCCAGGCTTTCCGGCTTCCCGCCATAAACAATATCTTAAGACATCCACCAGCCAACTCTCATTCAGTACCGACGAGCGCAGGTCGTGTCGCGGTGGGAGCTTGGATGTGGCTGGCTTGCATCTGCTTGCATCTTGCCCAAACTGACACTTGCCCTCGGTATTGCAGCTGAAATTCAGGCCGACGGAATTCATCGGGCCTCCGCTTTTCGCATTGACATCTTTTCCTCCTCGACCTGTACGCAAGGCAGAGCTAGCAGCGATACAAAGCAATGTATCTAAGAAGCTTTGAGAGTTCAAGCCTGGAGAGATTTCAGGTCACCCTTGGCTCCTCCTTTCCCCTTCTTGCCGTCACCCTTCTGCCTACAACCAGTCGAGCTGTAGTGCTTAGATTGATTTGTATCAGTGGTTGCAAACTGGGCAAAGCACTTTGGCACAGCCGGTGGTGGCAGCTTTCCTTTGCCCTTGCCTTAGTACCAAAGCCGTTGCAGCCATCGGCCATGACATGTTGATGTGGTCACTCTTTGTGTGGCTGTGCACAAAGACTTGTGACTCGCGCGAACTGGATCTAAGTGGCGTACCCTTGACTGCACCTGCACAGGCAATTGCTGCCGTTCTGAGTCATCGAGAGAACAGCCGGTCATCCATAGATCTAAAATCCTACTGCGGCGATTCCCCTGCTTCTATTTGTGTCTATCTCAACTGCCTGCATACATGCAATGGAAGGAAGTGGGCCTTTGTCCTGCGCAGATGCGGCGCGGAGGTCTCCGCTGTGCCCCTCTTTGATCTCAATCTTTTCGATCTCCGCCGGGCTGGATGGGCTGGAAGCAGCCGCCGCTGCCTGTGATCCTGTGCAAGGTCTTGAGGAATCTGAGCTTGCCTGCTTGGCTGTTTCCACATCCTGCGAGGTTGCAAGCTTGGGTCTGACGTCTGTAATTCGGTGTGCTGCTGCGGTTGAAGATGCCGAAGGATCCACAAACGCGTGCTCGTCTTTCACAGGCTCTGCAGGCTTGGTGACCTTTGTGGCTAGGCTTTCTGGCATGGAGTTGGAGCGACGAGGCACTTCGCTGTCCGTGCACGTTTTGACTGTGAAGCCACCGGGTAGACGTGGGGACACGCTGCGACCATCACGGCCAAACCTCCTGCCAGGAAGATACTTCGCACCCCGTACAACGCGACCTGCACGACCTGTCAGGAAAGTCACAGTCAGACTGCACGATACTGCGAAAAAAGTCTAGTCTAGGAGGTCGCGATCCAAGTGGATGTACAAAGCCCGGGCCTTTGCTGGCCTTGGACCATGCTGAGGTCAGATGCAGTCCATCATGTCCATCTTCAAATGCATCCCCCTCTCCCGGCACGGTCCTGCTGTTGTACACGGGGCTGCCCGTCGCTGGCCAGCTCTTGTAGACCGTTTTCGCAGGAAGTCGAGCTGTCTGCGCGGACCTCTGACCTGTCTTGCTGTGGGATCCAGAACCTGTGGAAAGATGCAGGGGATGCGACACTGGCCCAGTACTGGCTTTGCCAGCAGGATACCCTTTCCGGTCAGGTGCACCGCGAGCGTGTGTCTTGCTGAAGCTCTCCTGTTGCTCTGACCTGGCCGCCATGATCCGGTCCAACTGACCCAGCGGCTTTCCCTGCCGTCCGGTCTTCCACATCCCATGAGCGGCGCTCGCATAGGTCTCATCCGTCTCATTCATCGCAGCCCTGTCTCCTGAGAGGCTGCCCAACGTCTCGCTTTCGTGAAAATCCATGGCAAAAGCACGTTGCTGCGGTTCGTGTGTGTCCGCTGGACACGGCGCCGGCACCGTGCCAGCACACCTGCCGACTCCGGGATGCTCACCCACGGGAATACCGCCGTCGACCAGGGCTGAAGTGCCTGCACCTGTCTTGATCTGATATGTTTAGTCAACTGCTACTTGCACTCATGCTTCAACTGACCGACGTGAAGAAAACGTTCCTCTAAATTGCCCATACATTGCTACACATACATGGCAGGCTGTTGCCCGGACAGTCGATCCGTGCACCAATGTGGCTCGGCTTGCGTGTTGCTTCGATTGGTGGTCTAGGGCATAGCGGCGTCTTCCTGTTGACGTGCTTGGAACTACAGCCAGCTGTTTCACGCTCTCTGGCCATCTCTGGCCGTTGGAGTCCTGTCGAATCTCAGATCACGTCCGGTTCTTCAAAGAATCAGAGTGGTACGTAGCAGTTTATGGGCGCAGCTGACAGCTGACAAGACCAACCAAGTTGGATTTCTCAGACTGCATAAAATGCGGAGGGGCCCCAGTCAGAACATGACTTTGATATCACCCGGACAACTGCGACACGTGTGTCGTTGGGTTTGGGTGGTGCTCCAAACGAACCCTGGGTGTCACTTCAAGAGCTCCAGGAACTTCAAGCCAAACACCAACGAAAACTAAGACTTTGCTCGTGGCACCTGTACAACCTTGTACACAACTAGACAGCTGCAAACCGATGCACCTTGGCTAAGTGAACTGACTCTATGTGCATTTCGCTATGCGCCTTCGGCGGCATCAACAATCGGCCCTCGTTCGACTTCTTCGTGCTCGAAGTTGCTTCGCCACGCCGAACCTTGTCCAGATGATCCGAGTACGCCACAGGTCGTTGCTGCTGCCATCTGCCAATCACGCAGGCCAGGTGAAGCCTTCCGTGGCGAACCTTGGGGTGTACAGCTGGGCCGTCCGAAGTCTGAATCCGTGAATCATTGCAACAACTTCTACCGAGCCTGCCGCCTACGCCTACACTACTGCTGAGGACAAGAGCTAAGAGCACTACAGCACCACCATCCGCACCAACGACTCTCAGCAGGTGAGTCTTCCTCTCCTCCTACCCAACAAGGTTCAGATATGGTTTGTACCTCGGGATCACAAATGTGCCTCTGCGGAAAACGCGGGTCTGGGGTAGCATTCTGGCTCTACGAGCATCTGGGGCTCTCGCTGATGTTGCTGACCCAGCAAGGTGCACTGTTTGCAGGTGCATCCAGCTCGCCCGGCCTAGTACAAAGACAAAGGCACAGCAAAGCGGTCAAGAATGCAGCTGCGGCAAGCCTGGCCTTAAGCGTGACGAGCCTGGCACGCAGGCACCGGCGTTTTCCAAATCCATGCCAGCTATGTTTTGAAGCTTGTCGCGGGTTTTGACCGATTCATTGACTACAGCGGGAAGCAGCGTGGTCATGTTCTAAAGCTCGGTCTGACAGTTCTAAGGTAAAGAGATAATGTGCACGAGACGAGGATTTAGAAAGCTTCGGAGAGGCGGTGGCTGTATGTCGGAATCTGGAGGGGTGCCAGATTGCCGTGCTTGACACAGTCACAAAGTCTAGATGCCTTTCGACCTGTTGACCGAAACTCTGACCCACATTTCTGCCCCTGCTTGGGTTGGACCGTTCGTGCCTGCAGCCCCAGGCGTGGCCAGCTCTTCTTCTTCAGCTTCCCCATGCTCCTGCAACACCGCATCCCACCCGCCATCGTCTACGCTTCTCATATAGCCAAGGCTTGCACTGGAAACCATGAGCGGCTGAAACTCTTCGGTGTACTTCGGGGCGACGCCTGCTCTTCGCTGTTTTGATACAAGTCGAAACGTTGGTTGGGCCAGTGTCTCAGGGCCTCCCACAAAGAACCCGGAGAGCTGAAGTACGTTCGGGTTGAAGCCTTTCAGATTGGATTCATCGCGCAACCGTCGAAGGTAAGAGCTACCACAGCAAAGCATTTGCCGGGACATCTGCTGGCAGCTCCAAATTCGCCTGAGCATGCAGCATGAACGATTTGTCAAGCAGAATGTAACGCAACATATCCTTGCCTCTGAGCTGCTGCCATGAGAATTTGTCCACAACCGCCTGGAGACTGGACAGGCTCACGAGGGTTCCAAGCCCCAAGGATGATGTGGGCCAGGCCGTGGCGAAAGGGTTCTGCCAGAGCAGACCTCGGATGTTGGCACACCGCATCGATGAGTTGCTGTATTCACTTTAGGCTTTAGCCAAGGTGCAGGGGATGTTGTCCGACGAGCATGCTTGCCAGGGCTCAAACAGCCTTGGTGACGGCCGTTGCTGAGACGTTCTGCATCGTCTCATGAGCTGCATTCCTTGTACAAGCTCCGGGCGGGTCTTTGTCGAGATCCGGCCGACAGGCCTGCTGAACTGAGCACGTGTTTGCCTCACCGCGTTGCCTCCATAGTACAGTGACACTAAGTGCGTGACGTGAGCTGGCCCACGGAGTCCTGCGTATAAAGCACCGAAGGCATGAACACTGGGGCCTCCAAAAGCAACCGACCCCGGTCGGTCACAGAGCGTCGTGTGCGCTATCAATGGCTAGAGAAGCGGAAGCTAGACCTAGATCACTCACTACCTGAAACGTGCATAGCAGGATCATTGCGGCCGAGTGAAGCAGCATCCCAAAACAAGAAACGCTGCTGAAGGAGGGAACAAGGCTTGCTTGTCATCTAATCGCGGGTAAGCTGCAGTTTGATGGCGGGAAACAGCAGGCACGCTGTGAACACATCCTGCACAGCATGTGCAGAGGACCGCGAGACAGCCCACGGGATCGCGACTGTTACCTGTCTTTCTTCCTTGAGCTGCACTGTCAGAGTCGCTGTCGCTGCCAGGCCCCGATCTCTGCACTATGCCTGGCACGAGCATCGGCGCATGCCGCGAACAGCGATGCGCCAATTGTCAAATGATGACGGCCTCAAATTCATTCCATGCAGCCTGCAACATATTTACCTGTTCAATATGTTTTGCTTTTCAACCGGTTTGTGGGCTTGCTGTACATGGGTGCTTGCTGCATGCTCTCCTCTTGCTCGCCGTCTTTTGTTTCTCAACATACCATTTCCGAAGGCTATGTGCCTTGATTTTCCCATGTCCATGTGCCACAGCCCGATTGTGGAAGCATCAGGTGCAGGACGTCGACAGTGGCTTGTCCACCAGCGGAAAACAGAATTGAGGACATGAGGGCTGAGAGATACCATGCAGGTCCGCCTGGGAGCAATTGTGAAGCCATCCAGCCGAGCCATGTATCACGCTCTGCCGTCTTCAAGAAGCATGTCTGCTTGCTGCAACAAGCTCAAGACATCTCAAGACCCTGTAGGTAGTGTCAAAAGCTACATGCACCATCATGAAGCGTCTTGCCACCTTAAGGATAACAAGCACTAATTACTTGAGCCGTCACCATCGATTGAGCATATTATCTTATCAAGAGTCAAGGTGCCAAAGCAAACTCTGATTCTCTGGTCTGCACACAGTGTGGACACATGTACCCAGAAAGTTACCAAACGCCTCTTTACTCCGCTGCACTGCTCTGCTCTGCTGCCACTGGCGGTTTGGAGGTGAAACAGCTGATCTGGGCCCGCTCTCATTTCAAAACCCCACCTCGAGATCGTGTCTTACATCACCAAGCGTGTAACATATGCATGGCCGCTTGCCTGCTGTCTCTATGACCTCCACGTTGGGAATCAATGCTATCCTTAGAAGCGCCGGCGGTTGTGCAAAAGGGAGGTTGTAAACTGCATGCCACACTTGCACTGCCTGAGGGCCCTGGGTTTAAAGAAGCCTTGTTTTCAAAGGAAGCTTTCCTCTTGAAGGTCGCTTTTGGCTTGTGCTCTTGGGACACCAGTTGGGAACGGTTGGAGAGCCCCTAGGTGCTGTTTGCATGCTCATACGCTCCGCACTCTTGAACTTCTCTTTAAAGCACCTGCGTGCCGTCGCAGATTTCTCTGCCTGCGCCGATGTCGTCTGAGCAAAGCACCAATCGCCGGAAGAGTTCGGCAGAAGGCCCATCCCAGCCATGTGGTACCTCGTGCAAGCATCTGTACACAGTCAATGGTACGATTCGAGCACTTCGCTGAATCCCTTCTTCTTTTTATCATTCTCACTCTGACAGCCATTTGCTTCACTCCATGCGGCGCACAGGAGGTATGCCAAAGACACGGAGCAGAGCGCCAGGTAGGCGAGCCACTGCGATCCATGTATCGGTGCAACGTGCAGCTGAACTGTGTCAGGAGCTATCGAACTCTCTTGCGATGGTAAGCCTGCAATGTCGTGTCGATCGTCTTGAAATTTTGGAAGGCCGCATTGGCTTTGGTGAACTGCCCGACAATGGAGGTCAAACAATACCTCACGGGCAGACTTCAACTGCTTGAAGTCACGTGCCTGGTCCGATGTCTGATGTATAGTGACAAAGCACACTCTGCACAACTTACAGATTGATGGGGCCGAATGCTGAAAGGTGTTACCCAAGCAGCCACAGCGTATTGGGATGAAGCTGACACCCTTCGGATCTCTTGGAGCATTGGGGCATGCATCCTGTTCTCGGTACGAACACATCTTCTCACTACACTCAGCCGGTCGATAACTCAAATCCAACGAGTCTTGGGTTTGAGTCTCGCTCGGCACGAAGGCTGGCTTTCCAACTGCCTGACTGAAGTACCGATTTGTTGGCTGACTTGATACATCGAATTTTGGATTGCACCATGCCATAGTCACTCCGTATCGTCGGCTTGGACATGCCGCTTGCATTCTAAGCCGACATGTGCAGTTTGCGGTCGTGGGACGGTGGTGTGTCGTGTACAGTATGTGGTTTCCGACATTTCTGACACGAGGGTTGACTTGACCTCCAGCTGTGTCCTGCGATGGTTACTGCCAGCTATGCGGGACTATGCCCAAGCTTCTGACCCTAAGATCATCACTGTGAAGATTCCCGGAGACGACCTGGCAATATCAAGCAGAAAACATCGCATGTGAAAAGCCGGAGCTTTGGCATGCTAAGGCTGACCCGCTCATCCAAAGCATGAAGAGGTTCATGCCCACCTCTAAGTATGGTCCCAGGAGACATTGTTTGCAAACAGCTGTTCACACGGCAAACCGAGCATCGCACAGACTGGATAGGTGCAACCGCCACTTCCCACGCCTTCTTTTCAAGAAGCTCCTCAGTCGGTCGATCAAACCAGCTCATCACCTCTCAGTGCTTGACGGTTGCAGCGCCTGATTTGCAGTCTTGGACTTGTTCTTTCCGGCAGCGTCCCCGCTGTTGTCCTTTCGAATGCGGCAACCACAAGGGATGTTGTGAAGGAAGCAGTCTTGAAGCAACCCTGTTCGTTCAAGATGTGTATGTAGAGCAGCGAATGAGTGCCACACCATAGTCAGCTTGTATCCGATTGGATCCTGGATGCCATCAACCTGGCAAGTCGTGTACTGGCTTTGCCCAGAGAATCTCTGCTAGCATGGCTGCCGTGCCTTGCCGGACCCAGCAGTGTCCAAACCGCTGAAGTCCCACTTGCTCCACGAAACCTCTCGGAGACACTCGTAGCCAGATGCTGTCCAGCGCTGCCGCAGAATCGCCTCTGTCATCTGGCCGACGCCGTTGGTCGGGCTCTAGCTTTTAGCTTTTGAGCCGCCGCAGAATTTGGTACAGGCGGGCCGACACTATGTGGCACACGGCAGTGCTCCTAGTTGTCAACTTCTGCTGGCTTCCTTGCGACTTCATGATTAATGATGTGAACGGGCTTGCATCATATCATCGGACATGAAACTAGTAAGGGTAGTATGTTGGCGGAGCGGCGTACATCCCGTCTTCGGTAACAAACATGCATTTAAGCTCGTGCCTAGTCGAACGAAACATCTCTACTTGTGTTCAGATAAGGCAGGGTGCGTGCAAGTGGTATATACCGTAGATACATACATGTATGCGGAAGGTACATAGACATATTCATGTACATGACGTGCAGGACGGGATACACGTACACCAACAATTTCATACTTGAACATGCTCCATACACGTAGGCATTCAATCACGCAATCGACCTCCGTCCCAAGACCCCCAGAACGAATCCCACGACCACTTTGACAAACGGATGCATGCCTGGATATATATATATATATATGTGTGTGTATGTATATATATATATTTTTTTTTTTTCGAGCACACACCGTTCTTGTTCAATGTCTAAACTTATGATCGGAATCTTCGCTCCCATGCCGACTTCACTATTCATATCACTCTGGCAACTTCGTTTCAGGCATCGTGCGCTTGGCAATAACATGTCCGCCGCTGCTGCTGGTTGATTGTGAGTCTGAGACTCAGCCTTGATGCAGTTACATGTATACCAAGTACTCTCCTTATCGCTCCCTCATCCAAACCGCAAATGAAGCGAGAACTTGAGGTGCTTTGTCTGTCTTTGTCTGGGATGCGACACATTGCTTGGTGCGCCTTCGCGGTGTGCCCACATCAACCGCTTCCTGCTGTTACGGAACAACTTGCACTCGTGGCGCGAGGCACATGTTCAGAGTCCCTTCAGTTTGACAGGCAGGCAGTCGAAGATTCGCCGGTTCGTGATTGGGGCAGTGCAGGAATCCTTGCTGGGTGTAGTCGCCGGAGGTGGCATGCTCTTGAACCACATTCTGTGGAGGCCAAAACGGATTCCACGATACATAAAAACGGAAGCACGAGTCCTGTGCGATAGGACGGTCATGGACGGTCCTATGTAGAGATTTGCAAGATACTAATTCCTGTTTTTTCCCCTCATTTCTTGATGCTCGTGGGTTGCGCCCGGTGGGCTCACATGGTCTTGCAGGCCGGTCAGGTTTGTCGAGATAGCAAAGCATAGCAAAGCCTGTTGAGTTTGCCAACCTTATGACCCGAAAAGGCTTCAGCAGTCTTGTCTGCTTGTTGTCGAGTAACTTTGCGACATTCGGCAGCGTCACATGATTGGCTCGATTCCAACACCACTTACCGTGCCCTGCAGCTCCAACGAGCTGCTATCTTGCTGATGCCACGACGTTGAGTTGAGTCTAGTTGCTACTATGCCACAACTATGTGGATGCTTGCCAGACGTTACGTAATTACAACTGAAACGATTCTTCATTTTCCGGCAAATGCACTGGCAAGCTTACTGTCATTCATTTGCATGGCCAGTGGCTCAGAGAGCTTGAAAGACGTGGAATGCCCCACTTTCTGACCCACTGACGTCTCGCTCGCTCACCTGGTCTCTCATTTTGGTCCAGCCAGCCCATTATCGTTTGGTCTATATGTGGGGGGCATGCATTTTGCACGACCACATCCACCATAGTCTTAAACGATATGTAAGGCATCAGTGGTCTCACTTCAGACACTGGATGCAACCGATCACTCCCAGTCCCAACCCCAAAGGCCTCGCTGCATAGTCTGGGCTCACGAATGACATCTGCGACTTTTGATGCTCTGCCATTCACGAGATCCCGGCACTAAGAAAATCTGCACAGCTCGCGCGAGCTGTCCAGTAGGCCCCTGTCCCAAGGAGTACTGAGCACGGTGGCACTTGCGCGATCCTACTTGCCCCGCCTCGGGTTGTGCCACAAGTCCCCGTCGCTGCGCTCCCATCACCATGAGAGCAGGGGCTACCTGGATCGTCTAGACCGTTTATGACCGTTTGAATCGCAACCTTCACAGCAGCTGATCCTCGGCTCAGGCGGTAGCGTACACAAGAAAAGTCCCCAGGCTGGCGCCGGCTAGCCTGTGCATAAGCCAAGAGCCAGAACTCGCGCAATGAAAGCTTTTGCCCGTCTAACTGCCGATGGGCAACGCAGCAACGACTCCGAGATTCCGCAGCCTCTGCAGATGCACATCTACAAGCACAACGGAACTCCCTCGTGGGATCTGCGAAGGTGCTAGATGTGCTTACGTAGCTCCTCATGGTGCACCTGGTGTGTTTCCTGAGAGGCGCGCTTGAACGCCACAGCGGTGACGCCTATCAAAACAATGAAAGAATCCAAGGACTCGTGCTACTCCCAACCAGGCCAGCCAGCCTGCCAGCAAGGAGATCGTCATCGCCCTGCCAAGGCGAAGCACTCGGGCATGTGCACGTATAAACACTTGCTTGTCGCACTCAAGGATGTACAGTCTTTCACCGCCACTACTTCAGACCGAACGGTGTGCATATGCCAGGCCGAAGCACCTAGGCCGTTGGTTCGCGAAGTCGGCCCCCTTGCTTCCAAGGATTTCGAGCACCTCGGCGAGCAGCCCAGCAGGCCCCCATGCTTGGGTTTCTTCCGAGTGCTCTGTGCACGTCCCTTCTCTGCCTGCTTGCGCAAGCTCAGGAAAACCAGCGGGTATGCAGTGACCTGGACGCACCGGCATCCTCAAACCGCTCAGTTTACCTCGCAGTCTAAGGGTCGAACCAAGGACAGCACAATCGCTGCTCGAGCAAGCAAAGCAAGACCTTCCGGTGAAGCAGAGAAGCTGGCATGCCATGGTCTCAGGCTCAAACTCGTCTCAGCGAAGGGTGGTTCAGGCCATCGCTGTCTATGGCGGCGTAGTTGTTGAGGATGAGGCCCATGCAAGAGCTGCCGAATGTTAGGAAACCTGATTGGACATCGTCCAGGACGAACATTTTTGTACCTATGGCAACTCTGCAAATGACAGATCCTTGCCTCCCACCATCACCAGGCTGAAAATCAGGCCTTTCAGCAACACGCACTGCGGTCAAGAAAGCTCGTTCTAAGTGGAAACGTTCAGACGGGAAAACTGTGCAATTGCGTCTGAACTGATCGCGCGAGGCTGGATGGTTCCAACATTTTCCAACTCCATGGTGCGAAAACTTCAGTGCGTGCACGGGTGGATAACCTCTGTGGATGGGCGCAAACCAGCTAGATAAAGTACGATATCCGATCCACTGATCTAGATTGCAAAGTGCGGCAGCAACGCAGAACTTGTGCGCTGATACTTCACCGCCGTGGTGTCTGCAGCTAGTTTTGTGAATCAGGCATGGGGAATGTCAGGTGGTGTTGTTGCAACAGGTTCATGACCAAAGTACATCTTGCGAATTGCCATGACTCCCTGCCGGTCTCAACAGCCGTTCTTCTTCCACCAGACTGCAGGTAGTCTCGCAAAGCAAATCAATCGCGGCTCGCATCGCTGAATGTCTTTGCCATCCGCTTCGCCCGATGCATTTACCCCTGCAGCAGCAGCAGCAGCAGCA